AATTTGATAGTTTGTATTAAATCTACTCACTTTATACTCTTTTTTAACCACAGACCAGTTTTTTTTCAAAAATGGATCGATATACTTATCATAGCGATTATATTTACGCTAACCGAATAATTTTAATTAAAACATCTTTATTCAATACCATATAAGAGAATGCAATAGAAATCCTTAAAATGTTAAGAAAAATAGAAAGATTATACTTTAGTAATAAAACTAGTAACACTAATTCGTCACAAAATAGTAACCGATATCGTGTTTGTCTGGACCTTAGTGATGATTAATTGTCTGAGCTCCGGTGCAGCCCTAACCTAGTAAACTTGATATATCAGTGAACTGTGTTCGATGTTAGGTGGTTGGAGGTGATCAATAAGCTTTGTATTATCTGGTACTCGTCAACAAAGTGTATCTGCAATTTCGAAGAACTAAATCCTTCTAGTGGGATCAAAATTCATTTCAGACCGTGTTACTACTTCTACTGCACTGGGATAAGTCTTGATAACGTTAACTCGCTGTGCTAATGTGGTATGGCATCTTGAATTGATGCACAAATGTCAGGTTTTGCGTTGCTTGTGACTGACTGACATTGATATCAAGGCATTCAGGGAATGACTCATCATCTGTGAAATGGAAATATTTAAACTGTTCAGTAACTGAGTAGCAACGAACATGTACAGTGCTGAGCGTTGGTTGAATTTTTATAACAAATTTGACCTAGTTACTAAATCTAGTGTTTTTTATCCACGCATCCAGCAAGTATTACTGAGACGGACAAGTCAAAATGACATAGTTCAGAAAAATACAATACAAGTAATTCAAATAATTATTTGATCATGAAACCCGTCACATGAACTAAAACCAGTACATAAATATAAATGAGATTGGCGGTATTCCACTTTAGCATAGATTTACATATTGTGTTCATCACTTCCGATAGTTAATTATTAGATAGTTGTTCTCTTTAAAATATACTGAACGAATTAGTTATATCAAAGGATATTCTGTCGACAATGTAGGAAAAATAATTAAATTCTTAGTTTCAAATGTCCAACTAAGTACGATTTCTGATTTGAAGTACAAATGCCGAATTATTGATTTTTCTATTTCCAAAATCGCTTCTTTTCTATTACATTGCAGTTGATCGATACCAGTAAGCACATTTGCAATATATCTACCTAGTGTGATTAGTGGCCACTTGAGAAAATAAAGTCAGATAAAAGCAGTTTTGCAATTACTATTATTAATGAACATATAAAGGTAATGCAAATAAACGTTATTTCACAAATACAATTCACTTAGATAGATAACAAATAAATAATTCAAACAAACATTAATCATATCCTTTACCATAAGTGTTTTTTCTCAAACATTTTATTTTAATCTACATCCAGCATATTTTATTGTGGTATATGCAAGGAAAATAACTTAGATTCCATTTAATGCAAATATAGAACAGTGAATAAGGCTGTCATGGCAAAGCTTTCTGTCTCACTAAAAATTGTACAAATGGGAACTTTAGAAACCATCTCCAACGTTAATAAACCATCCTTAGTATAAATTTACCAAATCCTCTTATTATTTATGTCTACATATAAAACTTGAAATTACTGTTCACTGACTTATAGTTTACATGTATTTTTCCTCAATTTATAAATTATCTAAATATATTTAACAGAAAATACAGCACAACAACTAAATACGTCAGTCAACAAACATCAGCTGAATGAAAAGATCTTGATTGTTATTTGACTGTAGAATACGACTCAGCTTTTCCTATGAAAGGTTGACAGACCGATTTCCTGCCGATACGGAAATCAGTCTGTAAGCACTGGAACAGTGTTGGGATAAAATCATTCGATAACTTCTAGTAATTTACTACTTTTTGTTGTACATTCTGAAAAAATATAACTATGCCGCATCCGAAGAATACATAGTTGACAAAAATGTACCTTAACAGTTGCCAGAGTAACGACAAAAGATATAAACCACTGGAATCAGCTGGAGATTATTTCAGAATGACAAGTTTATCAAATTTAAAGAAAGACACCACAAAAAAATGGCATGATCAAACAAACATAAATGAGATGTTAAAAGAAGCATTTTTCGATCAGTCTGTTGCATGCTATGGATTTAAGACGAAAAACACACTAACATGTTATTTGGATCATAAAGATATTACACCAATACGATTTGGTATGAAACCGTGAGCTAAAGTGTAGCTAACGTCAACAATACCGATCTCTTCGTTTTCAATATTATCTTCTACATCACATATTATTTTAAAAAACGACTTTATACTTTTAACACTTTTATGAGAATTATCATCCAATTAACTTGCCAATAAACTAATATCATCTAAAAAATATAACAAATAATCAAGACTCATTTTTATTCTATTTTTAATCCACTTGTGTCGATCTATATTGGTTAAAATGTCCTTTGAGAATTATTGAAGTAAACTATCAAGAATCATCCTAGAATATTGTACAACACTACTGTGGAGCTCTTAAACTATGATTAAAATTGGTCATTTTGAATACTGGTGATTTTTTAAATGTCTTTTTATTGATCAACATGTGATTTAATTAACACGCTAGATCGATCTTCAGACGTGAAAGTTTGAAACGCTATAAACCAGTCTGTTGCGTACACCAAACAAGACTTAAATTGTTTAAAAATCATAAATTAGATATGTGTTCAGTGACCCTCCGGGTTTTATAATGTTTTACAAACTGTCATTTTATGATGACACTTATTTCATAATTAGAAATAGCTCATCAATCAAGTGAAGTATATATACTTGCTTTTTAATCAATGATGCACTCCCAGTTTATATAAGCAAATGTTATAAGTTCCTTAACAATAATGCGATAATTGTCAAAGTAATAATCGATAGTTCAACTATATAACTTAAACTTGTACTTCAACCTTTCCGATGCATATATTCACTCCCAGAATGTTAATATGGTCACAACGTTTTAGCAAATCATCTACAATATCAATAACTATATTGTTAATTATAATATAACCAGTTGGCAGCCATCATAGCCATGTTTAAAAATAAGTGCTCAACAGTAAATAAATTGTAGAACAATGATCACAGACACAATATCGAAATACGGGTCACTCAAAGAAATATGTCTTTGAATATATATAAATTATAAAACATATATGTATTAGTAACGTTGCTACTGCCACAATTTACTGTTGTAATTAGTTTCTGGAACAATACTGATGGGCACAAAGATTAATTCTCCAATGTTACAACAATCTAATCCAAAAGCATGTAGCAGAAACTGTAATTATGATTTAATGGGAACATTGAAAATCCAAACACTAATGACTAAGCCACACAAATAACAAAAATTCACACACATTCAGTCCCTTTTCTGATATTTTCAATAAATCAAAATGAATAAACGGAACTAGAGAAATTCATTCATAAATAAACTTGAAAGTCGACACTTGGGCAAGGAATTAGGAGTGGATTAAGACTTCTGGTTACGGAATGCTAACCACCCGACTCCAGTTTTCTGTCTCATTCAGAAGTAACACAGTTTAGATTTAAAATGTATAATTTCTGACAAACGCGGAACTGCATTTACTTTTATGTGCTGAACCGAAAACTGTCATCATGTTCACTACAAGTATACATTGAAATACAGTGAACTTTTGCTTATATGTGTACAAACAACACGCAATCACTTCGTTCGAGTATAACCGGTAATCTGTATTATGTGTTAGCAACGAGGCCATAAGTAAGCTATTAGTTAGCCGGCAAACAAATCTGTAAGCTATAATGGTATTAAAAACAAAAATACATGACCGTTGTGTAAAAATGGATTGTTGCAAACAGTTTTCCTAGTAAACGTGAAAATCATGTAAAAACGATAAGTTGAGGTAAAACACTAACGAATGATAAAAACGATTTAGTACCACGAACATTAGCAAACTGAAAACATTATTCCAATCCAAAATGTAAAGAACTAATAATAGACAAATATCAAGATAAGGAACATTTTGTCTGATACAGCTACTTGTTCAACAGAAAAACATTTACTAGGTTTGGCAGAATTCCTTTTTGTAGAACCTAAAATTTGTTAACATCACCAAAATAAACACAAAATAAACTCCCATGGTTGATCACCTAAAATGTTGTAAAAGACATATTTCAAAAGAAAAAAAAATTAAATAAAAGCCTAATGCTAAACGTTTTGTTTTTGGTTAACTTTGACAAAGCAAAGCCTTCATGCTTCACGCAAACTCATTAGAACGATTGAAATTTTACTCTACCTGAATATTTGCTTAAAGCTCGAGTTGAAATCTATAATGAACAAAAAACTAATCTTGACCGAAAGTATACATAATGAGTGTAAGAATTTAATGTTCCGTAGGTGTTCAAAATCAACAAAGTGAAATCTAAGTCGCCGTTGTGTGGATGAACAAAAAGTTGATTCTTAATTTAAAATTGTTTCTTATGATCCAAACATCTTGTAATACAGAGTATGTAAAAATAAGAACTGACAGAAAAAAATAATGTTTTCATAATTATCTATCAAAATGACACGAAACACATCCCGAACAAATTTTAAAATACAAGTTAGAGGTTAGAACAATCATGAATTAACAAACAAGCAGATCAAAACCTCTGACACGCAAGTATACTTTGCCATCAAACTTACTGCCGGTGGTTATTTGTTGATCACATACAACTCTCTGCTAACCATCAAACGAAGCTTAAAATTAAAAATGGTGAGATTTTAGATGTTATGAGAAAAATAATTCCAGAAATCACAACACAGTATTTAGCTATGCATGTTTATTTGTCAGTGGGGATTGATAACTGTCAAGTATAACCATATCAACCACTTATTGCTCAGTGGTTAGGTAACTTAAATTTAGTAAGACTGTAGAAGCTAAATGATCATGAGCTAATTCGTGCATTAAAAGTCACTTTCATTTTCAGCAAATTAAGTAACTGAAAAGCAAGTTCTTACTTTCAACTTTTAATCTTCCTGTTTGAGCTGTAATTGAAACCTTCATCCGGCCTCTCCTTTCTGTATGATCCATTCCACAAAGTCGTGGAGCCTTAGATGTACATCTCTTATGAACATTTAGATTGCAGTCTGTAACGTGACAAAGAAAATTTGACAAACTGTATAGAAGCAACAAATAGGCTAATAAAATTCATTACTTAAAATACATTAAACCTCTATTCAAAACAGCAATCATAGTTTCCATAATTGCCGTCAGCGGTTCTTAAGAGTTTTATATGCCACAGATGATTGAATATGATAATATTAAACGGATAACACAAAAATCATCATCAAGTAGTAAATGTTACACAGTCTTAAGAATGCAACTTAAGTGAGACAGTATAATAATTACCAGTAATTGTCTTCCCTATCAACAAATTTATGCTTATTTATTCGACAACTATCTTCAAAGCCTGCTTTTTGCGTAGCTTGATTTGTATTACAATCTATTCCACTTTTACCATTTTTTTGCTTCTACTATCCTGATATATATATATATATATATATATATAATAGTTTAAGTTTCACATATGCATAACTTCGTAATATGTAAACAAGTTAGTAGATATATCAACTTAGTAGTTCGATGGATGGCCTATTGTAACATAAAAGGAAAAACAATGTGTCCGAATTTCAGGATGATCATCAACACACATAAATCTAGCTGACGGGTCTCAAGTGGGATGAAACATGCATCCTAGATTTCATCGCCAGTGACGATTTTATCTTTAATTTTCTACTGCAATTTCCTATTCCCCAGTCCTTTAGCATTTTTGGTTAACAACCACATCAGATGCATACGACTTGAAATCTACAAAGCTTTTATGCATGATCAGTGATTCTCTGGTTCTTTAAATTTTTAACTAAAACTCACTCGATTAGGCACCTCTCATTTGCACAACATTCCTAAGTAATTCCACTACATACACTACTGTTAGGTAATATTGTTGGCATGTCATTCGTTTACTCAACCATGCTTATTAATCTAGGATGATGAATCAGGTGAGTTACAATGAATCAGTTGTATCCATTTTAATCTTAAAACATAAAATATCCAAATACTTCGAAAGATTATGAACTACAAAAGCAAAAAAAATCCTAAATACCCAGTTTTTCGGGTCCAGGGTGACCTTGCTTTTGACTACTTTTTAAGTGATTCTAGTAAGATTGAACACATTTTAACTAGAAAAGCTTTTGAAAGCCATTTCAGAAGTCCATTCCTGTAAATGTTCTTTTATTTGTGATATATTTGTGTTAGTTATCATGTAGTAATCTAAGACTTAAGTCAGTTTAATACAGTTAAGAATTAGTTTCTACGGTCACATTTTCCTGAGACAATGGTAACTATGACTTCGTAGTTATACGATACAAAAGGAAAGGTTACGTAACTAAATAAACTAACATGAATTCGAACGTAACATTTCAGTCAGGCATCTAATACAAGAATACTGCAGTTTTGCGCAAACATTATATGAGCTTTAACTTTGAATGAAATTGAGATCATCCGCATTTAATTCAATTCTATTAAAAGCGTTAATATAAAATACCAAATCTAATACTAGGGGCAGAAAAAACATCATTATTTTTAATATACAGCAATGGTAAAGTTCAGATCAAACAACAAGTAATTTAGAGCTAAACACAATTGTTAGATATGATGATGTTGTGAATGCTTTAGAAAATTACTAAATAGTAAGCATTGCTCAGTAGATTACAAAATAAAATTATTCAGAATGCATACTGAAGACATTCTCTCCAAACGGAATTAGGTAAATGATTGAAAAACGTAAAGTTATTTACCAAATGTGCATTTAAAGCTATCTAATATACGACTACTCACTTTTACATTTATACCCTTGATGTAGCAAACCATAAAGAAGAGAACCACAGTGATCACAAAATGTTGGGCTTGTATACGTGTACAGCACGAAATCGTGCTTTTTCTCAAACTAGGTAATTAAATAAATTCATATTGTTTCAAACATACGTCTGTATCTGGCCCAGTATCTGCGCCAGGGCATTGAAAAGTAACTAGTTGATAACACCTTTTATGAACCGTAAACAGACAAGTTTTGCACTGAACACCTTGTATACCAAGGCCCCTAAAATAGAGATGACGTATATTGATTTCCAAAAAATACCATATGAAGTCTTTACAATGCCCGCAAAATGTGAATTGTTTTAAGAATCGTGCAACAAACTCATGACCCTTCACATATGAGACATTCTTTTCTCGCAATGCACCTCGCCTTGCAAAACGAACAGGATCTTGAGCTGATGAATAACCACTAGAAGTAAGCTTATTAGCCTCTGCAACCGATGCGTAGAGAGATGACATTTAGCAAGAATTCGAAATTGTTCCCATATTCTAACCTTCGAAACGACAAGGTAAAACACCAGATTTCTTTAGAGCTAAGATATAGTACATTTCATCTTGAAGTATCACTGAAAAAGAATAATCCGTCTTTTCACCTTAACTATATGTTCTTAACTCAAGAGGTGATTAAAACTAGTTAGCATGAACATTCATTATTTGACAACAGACGGCACGATCTATTTCGGCATCATTTTAAGAAAGATAACATGCTGAATGGCCTGTGTTAATCCTAGTAATAGTCTGCCAGTTCGTTTGATTTCAGTTATCTTTTTGAGGTAAAGAGTTAGGCCCGCTGATGATTCGATAAGACAGTCAGAAGTAACGTGAGAAGTAATTTATTATGGGACTGTTGACATTTTGGAGTGTCTTCGTAAATGCTCGGTTTTTGAATCCAAGAAGAATCGCGATACGTGGAACACAAAATTATCATTAGTCAGTTTAAAAGTTATGTTCAAGTCTTTTCTAGTTCGATATGACTGAGGGAATATAACTATTTTACCTAATATCTCGTCATACATCGACTCTGTGATTCTGAGAATAAATTTAAATGTTAAATGTTTAAGAGGACTCGAGCCAGTGATCAAGTTATTCAGACACATATTTCAGTACTTTTTGGAATATATATTCACTGTCCGTTCGTCCTAAGACCGAGTAACCAGTCAGCCTTAGCCTAAAAGAGACAGTGAGCTGCTCGATTGACAATAACACCCAGATCAATTTACGCACATACTACAAGTAGTTAAACATTAATCCTTATTGTGCGTCTGTACCCGAGTTACTAATTTAAACTGCAATACGCTTAAAAGTATTCGCATGTAAAGAACAAATTCTAGACCATTCAGATAACTTCTACCATTAACACGCTCTGAACTGTCACCTTCATTCCTTACTTCTCCCCTCCCCCACATTCTGATAATCTCAGCATACAACGAGACCTGTGGTGATAGATCCTGTGACAGAATGAATATTGGAAGATCTAAAACGCTCAAAGCCCTTTCCCGAATATTATTATTTATATCTTCATTGTATAATTAGCAGATATCTATATTGTTACATTCCAACATCTCACTTATTATAAACTTCCATTAAACCTACTAACTGCTGTCACACTATTAACCATTCCTCAATTATTGTTGGCTGGTTATGTACCGTTTACTCCATCGTCTACCATACATGGTATAATTGTGCTTAAAGTATGATTTCTTATTTAACATACTGTAGGGCCACTAATATGTCACTAAGCCCTAGCCAAATCATCCGGCACTTGGGTCACTGCATATCAAACGGATCGTTGATCCCTGTCAAGGTCAAGGACAACCAACGCACATCAGTTGATCGCATGCCATGGACTGACGCATGCGGTGGTGGTTTCTCTATCTTCTCTCTACTCATTCTTACCAATACATTTTCATAATAACGTCCATTGTGTTGCACGGTATTCAGAGTAGCCATAGTACTTTAATACGTTGAAGGGGTAATTCACGTTAAATGCTGACCACGAGGTGTGACTTCTAAGTTAGTTGGTTCGTCATGCCATTCCCGTCTAACTCGAGTAGACCTCCAATCATTCGACACAGACCATCTACGTTGATGATCTACAATACTCTTTGGTCTGAGAAGTTCATTGTTTCATCTTTCCTTTTTTTCGTTACCCGTTGATTTGATTAAGAAGACCTCCACATCTCAGCAGAAGCGTGGACTGCAGTGGATACATCGGGGATTGGACTTAGACCATGTAAGTGAACTAGACATGCTACCATATACACACTAACAAATGAGGACGAAGACAATCACCATGGAAGCGGCTTCTGCAGCACAAACCCGGAAGTTCACAAAGGAAACACCGAAATCCTGAAGTACAACACAGATATTTATGATCATACATATACATTTGTACCTTAAACAAAATATATACGGTAATAACAGATACAAATCATTACCTAAGGTAGAAACTGACCGTTCGCAGTTATATAAATCATCCATTTTAGTTTTCCGTTTTAGCGATCCCGTAGCTTACTTTCTGCACTTCCCTCTTTCGACACAACATTGGTCACTATTTATTCAATATTTCTTTTTTTGGCTACCTTGGGTGCACAGACATTCTAAAAAGGCCTCACCTGAACAATACACTGCGCAATTATAAATCCTTTCACATATATTATGCCAAAAATCATCGATGGCCACGATTTCACAAGACACTACGAAACGTAAGCTTGTAGAGTTATAGTCTACTTCAGTATTAGTACTGCTTTAATAATTGACCTAATCCTAACATTGCGGATTTGTCATGATAGTAAAAATAGTATATTTCTGCAAGGACAGGTACACGCCATTCTTATAGACATGGATCTAGAAATTACCACATCTACTGGTTCGCAGCATGCATCCCAAGCAGGTTTGTTAAATAAATATAATCTAGGAAAGTGAATATCAGTTCATTCCTTCATATATACTGAGTAATCTTCAAAACATTCTCCAGAGTGGCACGTTACACACCAGATTCAATCTTGGCATAATTGTATTAAGATCTTAGTCGTGCTAAGTATTCATGCAATGCAAATTTTTAAGTTTATGCTTGTTATAAAGTAGACTTGTAGAGCGCCTGGCGTGAACCATGACCTCGGGAAGACACGTACATCTAGTTTATTACAGATGTCAGAAGTTCCATAGCTGTACCCTCAGAGCAAGATTCTGAAAAAAAGAGAAACCGAGGAGCCACAAGGCACTTGGATATGAACGATAAACAATACTTAAAATTCCGTGGTGGAACAGACAAGGGTATGATAAATTATTTGATTAAATTCGCACTAGCTCTTGTTGCTGGAGTGGAATGTCATCAGAGGCTCCAGATGAGAGAATGCAGTGATAAAGAACAATAAGTTGTGATATTTATCAAGCTGGAGTAAGTTTAAATGAAAGAAAGGAAGTCAAGGTTGGAATAAGGAAGTTTGTTTACTAGAACAGAAAGTGCATATGGAGAATGAAGTGTTAAGAAAACTAATAAGTATGTCTTTTGTTGTCTGATTTTTTTTCTTCTTTATCCATCCGATGCCTGCCACACAGTCCTAATGCAGAAGTCCGAGTAAGTATATTATATGTTGTCTTAGTAAAATAGTAGATCCTGCATAAAAGTGGAAACATTAGTCTGAATGGTGAGCGTAAGATAACAACCTCAATATCACAGATTGATTGACTTGTTCTCAGTCATAATGAGCCTGATTGTCGAGTCATGACAATGCTTTAGGACGATATCCTAAAACCATTATATTTAACCAGTTATAGTGTTGATTGAGGAGTAGCCAGTTGAAAATAGGTATTGTTGTTTTATGTGCTTATGAAGTGGAAGAGGTATGTAGTGTTAAAGATTTCGAGATGCCTAACTGTATTATAAATTCTTATTCAAAAATTTTATTAGTAGGTTCCGGAGTTTTGATTTTAAATGTTTGTTTAACCAACAACTACCTGAGAGTTTAGTTATTATACTAGTGCAGTTGATAGTGCCTAAATTTGTAACTTTATTATTTAAACTAAGTTCGTCCTTTTAGGCTAATAATATGATTAACCAATTCATAAACCCAAATACGTATAGCAATAGTGACTATGATGGGTTTATTGAAAATATTAGAGACGACTCAAACGATTTTTGAATTTAAAAGACGTAGAGATACAATGCAACGCATGTACGGGCCAGGGTAACACGCAGGTTGTTGAGGTATTTGACAGTTTAAAAATAACAAACATGGCCAGAAAAATAATTTTAAAATTAGGACAACTTGTGGAACTTTAGGTAGGAATATGGCGAGTTATAAATTTTCCATTAGAAGTCCCTGTATTCAGCCTAATTACACTTACAAATATGTGGCAAAAGCAACTAGGACTAAGAAATGTCTTTAAACAACACACTTTTTAGTAGTATATTGTAGTATTAAGATATTAAATATTTCTTATACCAAAAACGTTTTGGAAGCGGTTCCTATGCAATATATACTACTAATCTCAGTGAAAACATATACATGTTAAGTACAGTAAGCCATCCAGCAAAAGAGTTAAACTCGCCTGGATTATTTTTGAAAATTAGATTTAATAGACGACATATATAAGGCCATTCGTGACTAGTAGCAATTATCCAAAAGCATCCAGAATAAAACATGCAGCATGGCAACTAAATCCAGGGTGCTTGGTGCTGTTGACCTTTTTGTCACTCGTTAGTGGCTGTCATTGCATAAACCACCCAAAGTGACCTTATGTTTGCAGAAAATTTATACTTTAAACTCACAGTATGTTTTTGGAGTGGTGTTATACTTGTTGTTTAGCAATGGAACTTAAAAATGGGAAATTAGGAAGGCAGTGGTCGGGAGAAAAGATATTACAGGATAGTGCTTACTTTAAAACACAGTGCGGCGCTAAGTCAAGAACCAGTATGAAGAATTAGATCCAGATAACTAGTTAGTCCTTGCTTACGTTGCTTGTCAATGTATATTTAGGTTATTTACATGTCATATTTGCTAGAGTTCGACGTCTAACAAGTTTATTTCGCTGAAGCACATTGATGATGTCACAGGTATTCAGTAAAATTAAAACACGAATTTCAGCGAAGGGATCTCTTTTCAACGAATTTATTATCAAGCTGTACAATCGTATATATATGAAAATTTTGTTTTTGTAAAAGTACTAATTCCGTGAGGAAATGTGAATATAGTTAATATAAAGGTTATAATACTAGATTACGTAATATGAATAATAACAATAACAATGGATTTGGTGAATATAATAAGATGATTAAAATGATTAAAATGTTTTTGATATAATAATTAAAGGTCATAGAGGTGTACAAAATAAACTGATATGATGAGAGTTCATGAATAAAACAATGAGAATATAAGACATAAGTAAAGGGGAAATACAGTAATTATAATAATAATAATAATAATAATAATAATAATAATAATAATAACATTAAT